GGGGAATGGCCACGCTGCAATCCCTTCTCCTCCATTCTCCTCTTGGGATCTTGGGCATGCACGCACATGCGCCCAGCATGAGTTTTAAGCCACTGGATCCTGGACTCAAACCGTGGTGGACTACATGGGAGTCCAGCGACATAGCCATTATGCTAACTGCTGCTCCCCCTGGCTCAACTTTTATAAAAGGCTGGCATGCCAGCCTGAGCCTGAAGTCCCAGCTACTTGGGAGGATGAGGCAGAAGGATCATGACAGAGCAAAATCTTGCCTAAAAAGAGCAGTAAAAACTGTTTCTGGATTTCAAAGATTGAAATCTATTAAATTAGATTATTATTACAGTGTTTAATTTCATTTATTCAATATAAAATTTACTTTTCCTGTCACCTCCATTAGGTTCTAAGCAGTCTATTAATGAATATGGTTAGTGCTTTCATTATACTTATTGGAGTGGTTCTGCTGGGGCGTGATGTGTCCATAGAAGTCGAATTTATTGAAGACTATGGGGCAGTGGTAAGTATCATGTAATCTACTACATGCTTGCTTCCTTTTCACTCTAAAGGAGTGAACCTATATTTTTAACTTATTTGATTTTATTTATTATTATTATATTTTATTTACTTGTTTAAATTTTGAGAGAGTTTTTACTATAAAGTGCATGCACTTGCCAGTGAGACAGAGAGAGATGGAGAGACAGAAAGCAAGAAATCACCACCCTCCCCAACCCCCCAGCAGATAGCCATGATGCAATCCTTTCTCCTCCATTTTCCTCCAGAAATTTTGGGCACACATACACATGTGCCTAGCGTGAGTTTTAAGCCTTGGGGTCCAGGATTCAAACCATGGTCAACTATGTGGGAGTCCAGTGATATAACCATTGTACCATCTGATTATTTTAATTGGCTATAGGTAATATGGCCTCACTACAGAGAGTAAAAGAGAGAGAGAGAGTGAAAAAGCAAGCTCCCAGATTTGAGACTTGAACCGTGGTCAGCCATGTGGGAGTCCAGCACCTTAACAACCACACCATGTACTGGTCCCTGTTCTTACCTTTTATTACTGTCAGAAAATATAGTAGAAAATATCTTTTTTGTATTCCAACCCTACCCTTAGTCATGTGATTTTTACCATTACAGAACAAAGTAAGTTTCCTCTATCTATGGACTAAGACAGAAAGGGCTCTCTTATTCGCCAATCTCAATGTTACTCACATTGGCAATGGGAAAGGATATGGATTGACCTCTAAGACTCCTAAGAAACACCCAGAAGTTATTTTCCAAAGAATTTATAGTCTACATAAAAAAGATAGTCAAGTTGCTGAATGAATTTTTATTTTAGAGTAAGAGTATGGCAACGACAGACATAAATTTTTACTAGAGGGGACCAGCAGTTGGTGTAATCTCTATGTCACTGGACTCCCATATAGTGTATAATGGTTTGAATCCCAGACCTGGTGGCTTAAACTCATGCCAGGCATGTGTGCATGCCCAAGATCCCGAGAGGAGAATGGAGAAGGGACTGTGGCATGGCCATCCCCCCTGGGGGGGGTGATTTCTCACTTTCTGTATCTCTGTCTCTCTCTGTCTGTCTGGCGAGTGCACGTGCCCTATAGTGAAAACCTCTCAAAAAAAATTTTTTTACTAGAGAAATTCAAAGAGTGAAGTAATATTATCTTATAATCAATATAAGATTCTTTATGAGAATGTTGTGCTATTGAAAATCTCAATAATAAAATAAGAGAATGAAATAAAAAGAATATTGCAGAGCTACAGATATCAATTGAATACCCAAATTCACTATTATATATTTTATAAGGAAGTCACATACAGAAAGAAACATAATGGACTCAGACGAAAATGGTAGAGAGTAATCACATACAGAAAGAAACATAATGGACTCAGACAAAAAAGGTAAAGAGTAACAGTGTAGTCATGGTAATGTAAAAGAAAAAGATGAGAAGTGTTTAGAGAGATAATATACATGGAAGACAGGTGTCTTAATCTGCTATTGTGCTTTTTACAGAAATTTCTGAGACTGATGATGTATTAAAAAATAGAGTTCTACTTGACTCATGATTCCAGTAGCCGGAATGTCTGACCGCATGTGACTGGCATAAGGCCAGCTACAGCATAGCTGACAAATACAGAGGGGATGATGCGCAAGTGCAGAAAGAGAGCAACTGAGGAGACATTTTTATGACCACCTGAGAATGAGAACTAAGCCCTTTTCATAAGAGCTAGAACTCAATCTCTCAGGAGACTGAATTAACCCATTCACAAGGGTGGTTCTTCCATGAATCAATCACCATGATCCACTCCATACGTTTCACCACTTACCTACACAATTTAATTGGGGAGTAAATTCCAAAACAGAAACCTTTGAGTGAGAAACCATAACCCAAACCATAGGCAGAGTTGATAACAACCTAATGGTAATTTATATTCCTGAATTAGACAATCTTATAAATTTTTTAGGAAAACAAAGTATTCAGACATATTTGAAAAACAAATTCCCTGTAAAGGGAAATAACTGCATTTGAAAACTGATAGAGAATAACCTATTCTAGGAGATACTGGTGCAAAGTATTTGGATAAAAGATGAATGGAGTACTCCATGAAGTCAACTAAGACTGTATAACTATGGAAATGATAGTTGCATAACTGAATATAATAGGTTTACCTCTACAAAAGTAAAAAATGAAATAGTTGGAGCCAGCAGGTAGCATAGTGGGTAAGGCACTGAATTCCCACACAGTTCAAGTCCCAGATCTGGAGGCTTGAAACTCACATCAGGTGCATGTGTGTGTGCCCATAATCCCAAGAGGACAATGGGGGAGAAGGGACTGTGGCATGATCATCCTAAGGGATGATTTCTCACTTCCTCTCTCTCTATCTAGCTCTGTCTCTCTAGCGAGCATGTGTACACTACAGAAAGAAAAAAAAAAAGAAAAAAGAAGAAAAAACTCTCTTAAAAAAATGAAATAGGCACCAGAAACTGGGTAGTAATAAGCAGAGAGGTAAAATGAGAGAGACATAAGAGTGCTAATCACATCATTTTTTTCTTAATAAACAATCACTTAATACTATTAAGTATTGAAACTTTGGGTTTAAAATGACTTCAACCTCTTCCTAGATTCCATAAACATTTTTGTTTACTTTAGCAGACCTAAATTCCATTCTTTATTTTCTTGTAATGTTGCTAGAGCTAGAGCTAGCAGGTGGCATGGTATTTAAGGTTCAGTCATGGTTCAAATCCCAGACCAGGTGACTTGTCCCAAATTCTAAGAGGATGGAGGAAAAGGGATTATGATGTGGCCATCTACCCTGGGAATGGGAGTGACTTCTCACTTTCTGTCTCCCTGGTGAGCACACACACACTATGGCAAAAAAAAAAAAAAAAAAAAAAGCCTGAGGGCACATGACAGAGAAAGATGGGGTGGGGAGTGGTACAATGAAAAAGCATATCCCATCGGGAATGATTATCTGCAAACCCTTCTCCATTTCTCCCTTTTGGGAGGCATGCATGCACACACAGCCAGTTCATTTTTAAGCTACTGGGTTCGTGTCTCAAACCATGTGGTTGGGCTTATGGGATTCAGCTATGTTAACCGCCATTGCCATAGGCTGGGCCCGCAGACTTAATTTTTCT